AAAATTACAGATGCTGGTACCCATACAAGTACTTGTTCAGTAAACATACTGCTATGGGTACCCAATGCAGTACCTACATTAGTATAATTACTAAGAATTTTCGAAGTACCCATATCGGGTACCTTGCCGAGGCTTTCTCAGTACATGGGTACCTTGAACTCAGTACTTTCTCTAGGGTATTCATAATATTGGACTCTTGCTCGATGATTTTAAATTAATGCAGGCAGTTTTACAGAAAATAAGCTTCAAATTCAGATCTAGACATTAAGATGCCTTGAATGATACGTCTTTTAGTCATATTTTTCTCATATAGATATAAGACAAAAGTCAGGTTCACCAAACAATTATATTGTCAATACTATAACAAGTCGTTGGAAAAAAAATTGCTAGTTGTACTTGTAAAAAATCGGAACTCGAAATACAGCAGTTCTTTTAACAACTATTTACACTAAAAAAACATGGTTGCGTATATTTTTATTCATAATATACTCAGAACAAAATATCACTCGACTATGTTTGAAATAAAAAGTTTTTCTTCTCAAAAAATGATCGTAAGATGGGCAAATCGGTACACTAAAACAAAAGAGACAAATCACATGTTTTAACTTGTTTACAGAATCGATGATCAATATTTAAAATGAATATTGAGTACACATTTATCAATAATTGCATATAAGACGTTTTGGCATTCGACTCGGTCTTCTGCCGAATCGAATCAAACCGACTTTGATTCGAGAAATGTTGAAAACAGTTGTCCCGGATCGAATCCAATCAAATCAAGAAAACCTGGTCCGCTCTGAGAACAAGCGTCTTTCATTCCCAATCAATTGTCGATCTAATAATTATAATTCATTAAACTAAACAGGTGAACAGATGTATGATCTCTCTCTCTCTCAGTAAAATCAGAAGTAGAGAAAAAACAAACAAAATATAATAGTAATGATTCAGCAATTACTCGTCATGATCCATATTTGATTATTTATTATATTTGGAAGTAAGGTACACGTAATTCAAAGGATGAGCACTAATTTTTTTCATGACGAGCCATACATGGTTGGATAGAGCGCGTCGAACTGAGTCGGAATATATATGTTTTGACCTTTGGAACTGAATATGGGAGAAAATTTTAAAAAACTGAAAATTTTACTTTAGCTGAAAAGCCAACAATATTATTACAACAAAACTGATTTTTCAAACTCCCGTTATATTTTTGTAGCTTTGCGGTGTCCTTCTTCTTATTCAGCATGAAGAACTGAATAAGAAAACATGAATTCAATAGTTTTTTTGGTTAACTGAAGAAGCCATATTTCATATGTCATCTAGATCATTATACCATCAGGAAAACTACTGACTGTCGTTTTTTTAATCTTAATTCCATGCTGAGAAAATTCATTTTTCTAAATCTATGGCGAAAAAGTCAGAATTCTGCTCGTAATTCTGAAGTGTATTTCTATCCTATCCAACTGCTTTAGTTATTGTGGAATTTTCACGTTGAAAAATTATCGAGCTTTTTACCAAAAATGAAAATCAAGTAAAAATTTCCAAATACACATTGGCTAACTTAATTTTTGATCCTGATTCGGAATATGATATTTGTATTGCTCAAACGTTGAGTTCTGGTGGAGAAAAATCAAGAAAAAAAGTTTCGCTGATGAAAACAAAAAAGATTTCTCAAGCTGACTGTAGATGCTGAGGTCTCCAGAGACCTTGAAAACAGCAGTTACAAAACATTGAAGTTATATAATTTCGATTAGTTTAGTTGACTGGCACATGTGTACCAATCAAAAACTTGTCATTTATGAAAGTTTCAACCGTTTTAATGGAAAATTAACGAACTTTTGAAAGCCATTTTAAACTGTTGCACGGATATTTCTGTCATACTTAAAAAATAGTTACCACAAAGTTAACTAACTGATAGTTACCGTTATTTCAACGGTAACTGAAAACACAGTTATCGTTACTTTAACGGTAACGAAAAGAATAGTTAGCGTTAAATCACGAGAACTTTTACAGTTCTAATCGTACGTGTCCAGATCGAGACAGTGGCAGGGCTTTTACTCGTGATATTCATATACATACCACCTGAAGTCAAATACAAGTCTAAATACAACAAATTTCAATCAGCTAGAACAAATTAATCATGACATTATTGTGATGGACGATATAATGGGTGCAGCAGAAATAATGATACTATGAGTATTTTCTATTATTCTCGCATCCCCTAGATCTTCTCTACAAAAATATGTAAAGAGTTTGATAAGAATGTCTCATGGTAAAAAGTTATAGAAAAAGTGGAGCAAATATCAACGAAATCCTTAAATTAAAAAACAACCTTTTGAAATTTATCTGACTGGACGCATAATAGATAATAGATAGATAATAGATTCATCAGCCGTGTTGTAATCCTTAAAAGGTTTTACTTTTTGACATGAAACAAGTTTTAACCCATCGAAAGGTTTCGCGTAAAAATCTTTTTCAATTTTCAGTGCCACAAGTAAAAGTCGGTTAAAGTAAGTCGGTTAAAACTTTATGTTTCAAGTTTGCGTTGCTTTTATTTTCGACAGAAATAAGTAAATAACTACCCTGTTTTATACATGTATTAAAATGAAAATGTGTCATTAATGGTTGGAGAACGAACGATGGCAAAAAAACGATTTTCTAACCATTTGTCATAAATAAATCCAATAATTCACTAACTTTATTCAAATTCTTTATTAAAAAACATTAATTACTCACACATAAAAGCGCTCTTCAAAGAAGTTCCATAAGCACATCGTTCAATGATCAACAATTTACGAGAAGGATGACATTAGCTGCTATTTACATTTATATTTATTGATCATTCATACTGGGTCATTAGTCATAACTAAAATTTAGAGGAATCAGGATGTTTTAGTTTTGCTTAGGTACGAATGCCAAAAAGTGTGGCACTTTTTCCTTTTTTTCGATGTTGACTTCATCTCAAACGTTGAATTCAAAAAGCCTAAAAGTAGTGTTAATTCTATCTAACGCCTTCGAAAAGACAAAAATTTTCAATAGATGAGAGAAAAATGAAAAAAGAAGAGAAATTGAAGATAAGGGTGAGAAAATTACGAGTTCCCAGCACGGTGTATAAAGTTAAGTTGTTTATCGAATAAGCGTATTCTCAAATTCCTATTTAAAAGATAATTCTCGAAAAAATACTTAGTTATTTATGGATCATATGTTCTACATGTATCACTTGCAAATACGAACCATACTACGACATGTCGAAAAAGATGTTCAATAAAATTTGTCAAATTTAAACGACAAATTTTAACTGCTGATGATAATGACAGTACATTGATATGATAGTTTTATTGTAATAATCGATTTATAATATATGACATCGAAGAGATAAATTGATTATTCACATCGATTATGTGATTGTATAATAAATGATGAATAAAAAATTGTAAATATATTAGATTTATAATTAAAATGTTTTATTATTAAATGAAAACTTTGTACTAGTTTTATGATGTTATGATGGTTTTTTATTATTTAATCTTAATGCTGAATAACTAAAAGCTACTTCAGATTTTGAACGTAATAATAATTCATAACGTAATTTATGCCCTAATGAAACGGCTTTTTCATTATAAAATAAACATTCTAATTGACAAACAGATTTAAATCTAACATTAATTTGTCGATTTTTATAATTTTGTATTAGAACATGTGTTGTAATCATTGTCGTATTTGTTAATTTATTAATGACACTTGTACTATTTCTCATTAATAAAACATCAGCATCTTCACCTAATTCAAATTCATATCGTTCTCCTTCGCCTAATTTTGGCAATGACCATTCACCTGATAATATTGAATTATCATAAATTAACATTAAACCATTTGGTATATATGTTGAACTATTTGATAATAAATATAAACGAGAAAATTTTCGTTTTTCATATTGAAGAAAACCAGTATCGGTTGTAGACAAAATTAATGTAAATGATAAAATTGTTTTAACATTAATAGATGGTGATTTAACATAGGGAAATGTTGTTGTACTTTGTGATTCAATTATTAAATCTCGATTTATCAAACTAAACATGTGTATTCCATTATATTCACCTTGATCTTCAATACCACTACCAATTGTTGATGATGTTGTTTTTGATGAACGACGGTCAACATGTGGTGAACTTCTTAAAAATGAGACACTAATATCACCAGAAAATAAATGTGTTGTATTAAATGTATAAGATGTACGACCACTATTGATAATATCGGCAAATGCACTAAATTCAACGGTACCATTTAATAAAATGTTCATTAAATATCGTGTACGCCATTTCAAACTATTAACTAAATATGTTAGAATTTTTGTATTATCTGTTGAAGATTTATCAAATTTATTAAATGATAATTCATATAATTTTTCAACAGGAACATCTATATATTCTACTAAATCATTTTTTGCATGAAAATAACGACCTGAAGATTTTTCTTGAACAACATAATTATCATCATGAATCATTGTACATTCAACAGCGTCATGTTGTTCTGGATATTTTCGAACAAATACAGTTTTACCTATTTGAGAACAAAAGAAATAATATATTTTTGTACTTTCTTAAAAGTAAAATCTATACCTTTCATATTTGTTTCTTTTCGTATGATTTTTCTTTCGTACATTGAACTATTTGGTAATAATACAATACTTTCTTCTTTAATATCATTCCATTGATCTTGTCGAAAATAATATTTTTGATCATTCTCATATAACTGTCGAATTTCAGCAAACGATTCGTATAATCTTAATTCTAATGAAGAATTTTTACATTCAATAAATAAACAATAACTTAATAATATATGGAAAATAATGCCAATCAAGTAGTAACCAGTAGAATAAGACATGGTATGAAGAAGATGTTTTGTACAAAAGTTAGAAAAATGAAACTAATGTAGTAGAATATGTTTCTTATAGTTTCGTCTATTTATTGTGAACTTTTGAAAAATTTGTTTACTCTTCATATGTACATATACATACATATTCGTTGTTTGAATTCTTAAGCAATATGGTCGTTGTTTACAATGTAATATGAACAACAATAGTTTAATTTTCTATTATTATTTCATTATTTAAAGTTTTCTTGAGAGAGAGAAAGAGAACAAGTAAACTATGTACTATTTCTAAACAAACCTTGACATGTACATAGTCTCATATTTCCCATAACAGTATCGCATTTCTTATTTAAGAATATAAATTATTGAACAATGAATTGTTCGCATTTTAACGTTAGATTAATCGATCTTCGTAAAGATGGATCAATTATTATTCGTCATGAGTCTATCATGTTCTATATTATACAAATCAAATACAAGCGTTTCGATGGTATTTTCATACGAAAAATTGATTCTATATACATATATCATAGACTCAACGACTTCAATCGAGATACTTTCAAATATATATGTTGCAGGAGAAATTAAAATTTACTTACTCACAAATACGAAAACTCATTTATTCGAGTTCAGAGTTTAAATTTTAGTTTTCTGAAGGATCTATGATGTTTATGAATAACAGGAGAAAATTGTGAATACTGATCGAGAGTCGAAAAACTGTATGTGGTACACAGAACTCGGATCTTAAACATTTCGTGATCGGTGCTCGAACTTACGGAAATATTTCAGTCAGATAAGGATTTTTTGATTCACCACCATTGTACACAATGTTTTCTTGGTGATCATAAACACCATGGACTCTTTAGAAAACTAAAATTTGAACTCTGTACCCGAATAATTGAGTTTTTGTACTTGTGAGTAAGTAAATTATAATTACGTTGTATCTAATATAAAACAGAAAAATCTTGTTAGAACACTTCCTATGGATATTAAATGTGAAACTGTTTGTAATTATATAATGCACTAAATTAGATAGTAATCATGCTGAGTGGAATTTTTATCTTGTTAAAAATGACGATATAAAAAGTTCTTTTTACCAAAAGAAAGCCCATTAGCTCCTCTACAAACTTTCCTATAGAATTTTTTCAGATGCATAGCTCAATTCGCAGGAATCAGAGGTGTATCAGGAGTTTTCGAAAACTAGGGACCTTTTCTGACACAGCATTACTCACCGAAAAATCTTTCTGGAAGCTCGAGTCTTGAACCGAAAATCTTCATTTTTATATCGTAAGTAGAGTTTGGTGAGTTGCGTCGAATGGCGCCAGAACGAACTTTCTAGCTCCTACAGTTTTCGAGAAAAATACAACTTACTGTGTCAAAAATGTCACAGTTTTACCTTTGGACAAGCCGTATAGGGTAAATTAAAAGAGTTTAAGGCTAAGGAAACTCAAAAATAAAATTAACAAAATACAGCAACGAAAAATTGTCGATCTTGAATAAACGACATGTGTCAATAAAGTAAGATATATTATTAGAAAGAATTTATTGAATAACAATAACCAATCGTAAATTGTAACATATTGAACACTTTTACGACGAAAAGAAGTTAAAAAATTTCATTTTTATCACGATCTTTAGAGAATACTTTTGTTTACTATTATTTCAATAATCTGTTTTTCATTCTTATGCATTAGAGTAAAAAATAGACACTCTGTTGAAATACACAGATTTCTCAAGGACAAACTTCATTGAAATATCTGATATACATAGGACCAGTATCTTCTTGATGGATACGTATCTAAGGTCGTCTGACCTCTCACTACAATGTATGAAAATGGAAAACAGAAAATTTTGCTTACAGGTTAATTGTACTTTTGAGCTAAAACGATAATAAGCTCAAAATCATATGAAAGTAGATCCGAATGACAGAATGAGTATTTTTTAAAAACGATTTAATTTATTGCTTAAAACTCTACGTATTTCAATGAATGGTCTCTCTTCATTGAAAACGTATCCCTGTCGTTTTAGTATAACAGTTTATGGTATGACTAACAATAGTCAATATGCTCGAAAGTCTCAACAATTGAATAATAATCAACAATATATTTTTCAAAGTGGACTAAAGTAGATTGAAATATTTAATAAGAATAATAGGACTAAAGTCACCTTTTTAAACATTACTGTATAACCATACCTCCTTCGTATAGTATGAATAATTGAAGAATTATTTCGTAAGGTGAAAATTTTTAATAAGAATAATAGGACTAAAGTCACCTTTTTAAAACTTTTGTTTAAAAAGGTGACTTTAGTCCTATTATTCTTATTAAAAATTTTCACCTTACGAAATAATTCTTGAAATATTTAAATTCAAGGGGTTGGAACATATAGAATGAATTTATGGATTGACTGAGTTTCAATAAAAATATTAAATTTTTCTCATTTGTATCTACCTTAGTCTTGTATGTATAAATTTGTTATAAAAGAGTATGCATGTATTTATACAATAGATGTGATGACAATGATGAAAGGCATTCGATCTGTTTAGCCTCGATTCATCCCGGTTGTTTTTTCTTTTATATTATCCAATATATGTAGCTGACAATTTTTTCATATTCTAACAATGTTATTTATTCTATAGTAAAATCTATTTGTAAATGGTGTCTTTAACTAACTATGGGAGAGATGGTTCTGTGTTAAATTATAATAATGATCAGTACACCAAAAAGCGTGCAAATAAAAAGCTAAACTTATGGAGATGTCATGATCGCGATTGCACAAGTGCTATTTCATTATGTCCACTACAATGCATGCCTCGTTCATGCGTTTAAGATTTCATCAAAGTTATCGTCGACAAAGTACTTTAAACGATGAAGAAACGAATCCCATGTATCGAGTCTCGGTTTTCTCACGGGTAAAACGAGTGCATTTCCAACTTTCCATTGTTATCCATTGATGCGTCATGATATCGTCACTGTGCCTTGAATTTTCCTAAAATATCATGACTTAAGTGATAAATAAAGACTGGATCATTTCGGTACCGACTTTCTCTTGGTCGATGAGTTCTTTTTTTAGTAAAATGAAGAAAAATTTGCACAAATCATCCTTAGAATATGAAAGAGTTGTCAACTGTATATGTCGGATAAAATCAAAGAAAAAATAGCCGGATCAAATTGATCTGAAAAAAAGTAGGAACAATCGAGAGAACATCATTCGATCAATTTTTCAAATGATTGGAAAACAAAGAAGTCAAAAATTAGCGCTTTCAAAAGAGTAAATAATTAAACAGCACGCAATTTATTGTTCTTCATATACAGTTAGTTATTTTGTAATACTTTATTTCATTAAGGAGGATTCTTTTCATTTAGAGTTTTCTCAAACGACTTAGTGACATTATTTTAGTAGAGCAAACAAATTATTTACTTAAAACATTGTTAAACTGTTTAACACAGGTCCTATTATTAAAGAAATTCCCGTCTGTATTCATCATAAAAACTTGATGCTTGCTTAGATCGATAGAGAATGAGTGAGGAATATTTACTATGAGAAAATATGAAAAAAAATTTTTTTGTTCGTTCTTTGTGTTATGTTCTAATTAGTGCTAATTTAGCCTACTTACTAGCTTAATACATACTGAAGATCACTTCTTTTTATTATTTTTTCAAGAGAAAACTATATGATGAACTTCTTTGGCCCCAAAAGAGATAATAAATTGAGTAAACCCAAAAGAGATAATAAGTTTTATTCTTAAAAGAGATAATAGAACGAAAAACGTGAAATTTTTGTAATTCCAAAAGAGATAATAAATTTGATTAGTAATCAAGAACGAAAAAAAAGTTAAATTTTTGTGTTTTCAAAAGAGATAATATAGAATGAAAAAAAAACGAATCTTATGGGTATATATTTTATTCTCATAAAATCAAAATTAAGCAGAATCATTAAGTATAGTGTACAAACGTGTTCATTAACGCGTCACAACATCAGCAAGGCCATTATATAAATGTAGGATCAGTAAATAGCAAAGCATGTCATTTTCTTTATGAAGAACAGCTTATTGAAGCTAAACAAGGATATGAAATAACAAAAGATATTGAAAGTTATAAACGTTCAATACGAAGAAAAGCTTATTGTTCTTTATATGAACATAAAAAAAACCCAATGATATTGATTCTGATTGATTTGGTGATGAGAATAAAATATATATCCATTCTATATTATCTCTTTTGAAAACACAAAAATTTAACTTCTTTTTCGTTCTTGATTACTAGTCAAATTTATTATCTCTTTTAGGTTTATTCAATTTATTATCTCTTTTGGCCGCTAGTTGATGAACTATAGTAGAATGCATATCACTACTGCACAATTGCTAGACAAAATCAATTACTGTGCCGCTATTATTATTATTATTATTATTACGATCTCTTTGTGACTCATCCATGAAGCATGCAGGATTTTAGTTAGTAGTACGATGAATACATATGAAGCGTAATGTATGAGCTGTATGAGCTGAGCAGCTAGAGATAGACACAGATACACACGCTGGATAAGATGATCAACGGAATCCAACATATTTCTCTAACAAGATTATTCACAGCACACTGCTCGGTACTCAGGACGTTGGTCAGTGTAACAAATATCAAATGATCGATTTTTCTCCTTTAGAAATATATATCACCGACAGAAAAATAAAGTTCATTCACCGAAAAGTGCTTTTATGGATTCACTCGATAACACAGAAAAGTTTCTATGTTTGGCGAGGCGTACTGCAAAATGTTTAACAAAAATTTTTTAACAAAATGGCAAAAAACATTTTCGAAATTAACACTAGTTAAACTTTTAGCAGTATCCCACGCCAAACAGTACCTCTCGAAAATTTTCGGTGTTATTGAATGTGCTGGATATGAAAAAACACTTTTCGGTACTCTAAACGAATTTTTTTTCCTTCACGTTGATATATTACATTTTTCTGTACTTCGTTTTCTTAATAAGTAAACAAACACTGTAACAAAGTCCAACATAAAAATAGAAAAAAGATTGAGTATAGAAAATAACAATTCTACACTGTACCGATTTCCTATTCGGGAACGATGACAATTTTTTTCCGTGTACAACTTAATGTCCTCTATCGAACCGAACTACGCTAGGCATGCAGCACCAATTACAAAATATTTATATTTTTGACAGTATCATTTATGTATAGTTTTAGGTACTATAGCTCTTTGGTAATATAGTTTTTGGTACTGACCCAAGCGTCTAAGTGTGGGCTTTCCTAAAAGAGCACAGAACGTGATTGAAACCTTGACTATGGATTCACACTAACTCTAAAAGATTATCTAACGAGGGAACATTCCCAAGTTAATTCCTAAATTAATTTTCCTTTTTCTTTCTATATCTCTGAGCTGACAATGAACATTTAGGGCTTCTCTTGTAAATTCTGTAACTTTGCAAAGAAAGGTCATGGAGAGCTGGAAAGCGTCTCATTTTTATGCAAAATGTTCAGGCTATAATCCCAACATGTTGATAAAAGATTGCTAGGATTTCAGGGGATTTCTAGAAAATCAGTTCTCCAGAAACGCTAGGAAAGGTCTATGGGCACAAACGGCTATCATATACGTAACCAGCGCTCTTGATTACACATAAATTGCCAGGTTTGAACAAAATCGGAGTGCCTCAATTGGGAATGTTCCCTCGTAAGGGAATTTCTATTTTGAGAGTTCTGTTCATTCTTTTATCTTTTTTTGTTTTCTCTTATTTTTTTCGCAAATTCGTCGTTTTTTCAAGAGACATATCAGCGTGAAGAAAAAAAAATTCATTTAGAGTCATGGAAAAGTGCTTTTTCGTATTCAGTACACTCGATAACGTCAAAGATTTCCTATTCTTGGCGAGGGGTACTGCTGAAAGTTTAACAAAAAGTTTTAAACAAAATGGCGAAAAAACTTTTCCATGGGAAATTAACAGTAGTTAAACTTTTTGCAGTACGCCTCGCCAGACATAGAAAATTTTCTGTGTTCTGAATACAAGTCGTTAATCGAGTGTGCTGAATACGAAAAAGCACTTTTCGGTGATTCTAATGAACTTTATTTTTCTGTTGGTGATATGTTTGTATTTCAGCTGTATTTGAAATTTGTTTGCGTATAACTCTGCCAAAACTCATTCGATAGTCAGAAAAATGATCTCAGTAACTCTACGTCCTCTACAAACTGACAAGATCAAAATCAAATTTTGTCGAAAAATAGTTTGAATCTGCAGACTTAGTCTTCTAAAACCGGTCTACAAACGCCTGTGACCAGCACTTTGGTATGCAGAATCAGACGCATTGATCACATATGACTTGTCTTCACCGCAAAAAACGGTGGAACACTTAGCAATATTTCTCATGAGAAAATATTTTCTTTTATAATATAATAACACAAGTCTATATGATAGAATTCTGATTATTCTTATTACATATTTTAGATGAGTTGTGTAATGTGTAACGCTAAATGATTTTTGTGACATGAGTGCATCAGGTATATAATTCATCAAAGAACTCTTTTTTTTATATCATTAAAAAGTGTTTATCGAATTATGATGTTTTTTCTCTTTTCAAAACAGTGTCCAATTCATATATTTCTTTCTTTCATTACTTAGCTTTGTGTTCTAGTATAGTGAAGAAATGAGATTTCATGATTGAAAACTGTCTTCAACTTGTGTTTGTGACATCGAACAGCGACAAAATCTGAATAGTCTCAAATGTAACGCTTAAGTAATAATAAGGTAAAAAGTATAGTATACGCAACAATTTAAAAAATTAAATTTTGAAGAAAATCGTGACTATATTAGATCGCCTAACTCGTCTCGGCAACAAAGCTATCTCAATAACTATAACTTGAATCTAGAAGAAACTTTTAGGAAATGTTAATCAAGTACTGGTTGCAAGGCAGTATCTCTCTAATCATTTATGCGATATTGTTCAAACATGGATCAAAATAGGACATTTAGAATTGCAAAGACTTTCCCTCTCATAGAAGAGATGAAACGTTCGGATTGATTTTAAGTTGAGCTAAAGATCTATAAGAGCAATGTAAAAGAGTTGGATTTTTTAAGATTTTTGTTCAATTTGTTAAGGAGAGTGTTTAAATCCAAAACCTGAAAAAAATCGAACAATTTAATAAATCTCGATATTTTCACAAATTGAAAGCTTTAATGAAGAATCAGACTCTTCTTCATTGTTCGCATCAATATTAGCTTTAAAAAAAGGTAATCAACGTTCGGAAATGCAATTTAATGCGATACACTTTTTTCTCTTAAAGAGTGAATTCTTGAGACAAAACGAACTTGTTCCCATAATTTTAGCGGTTTTCGACCATGGGGAAGTCACTGAATACGCATCACATATGTAATCACCTTTTTTTGACGTTATTTGATGAAAAAAACTACCATATTACATCTCTAATAAAATTTAGTGTACTTTGGACTGTTAAACTATATCCTTTTCTTGGAGTATTTTAAAAGATTTTGACAAAAATCGCTATATTTGGTAAAAGGAGGAGAGACTCATAGTACGTCTGAATATTGTTTTCTTTAAACCAAAAACGGAAAACTTTTTTTTCTAACCGCCTAAATAAAGTAGGATCTGAATATACTATACTACTTGTAAAATCAGAGAATTTATCGATCTATTATTGAAACTTATTCCGTTTTAGAGAGTAGGATGATGCAAACAATACCAAAAATACAAAATTATCAATTCAAAGATGACTCTGAATATTTAATTGCTCAAAAATATCTTTATAAATGTGTGCGGAAGAGTTATTATTCCTAACACGTTTTAATTAATAACTCTCCTACTGTTCATACAATTATCTATAAGAAAACAACTATTGAAGAATATGTTGAACATTGATTAAGACAATTTGCCTGCAATAATGTTCAACATTTTGTTGATATTATTTATTAATGTGTGTTTATTATGTGTTTTGGACGGTAGTTTAACTGTTACTTGGAAACGTGTTGATACCAATTATCCACAATCACAACCGCTACCGCAACAACCACCACCCCCACATCCACTATTACCACCACAATCATTTACGGAATCGACGAGAACAACAACAACGAGAATTTCAACACTCTACAATAGTCAAACAATAATGACGGCGAATATTAACAGTTCAAGTATTCAATCTACCGTTATATCATATTTTATGCTTCCTAATTCAAATTGTATTTGTTTATTTTCTTTTACCAATAATATTTTGTGTACAAAAATGACAGATTATGTTCAAATCTCAAATGTTAAAGATCACTCAATAGATTACGTAGCCAATTTTACCGTAATGAATTGTTCATTTGTTGATAATCGACTATACATACCGTCAACATTCGGATATATTGAATATTTACAAATAACTAATGTCAATAATGGAAATTATTTAATTATTGATTCAATTTCGCTTCAATCATCTATTAAAACCATAGATATTTCATATACAATTTCAAAAACCATATTACTTATAAATAACAATACATTTTTATTATTTGGAAACAGTTTGTATTCGTTAAAAATATTACATTGTATTTTAATTTTATTGCCAAATACATTGAATAAACTTATCAATTTAGTCACATTATCAATTGATATAGAAAATTTTAATTTAAAAGAATTTCATTTACAAACTTATAGTCTCTCTCAACTACAATTATTAAATATAACAGCTGACGATCATGTCATTTATCTTAATAATGTTTCGTTCTGTGAATTTTTACGAAATTATAGATCTATATTATTTAATATTCGACCAACATGTACTTGTGAATTAGTCACTATGATGAAATCTGTCGATATAAATAATAGAACATTTTATCAATGTTTAAATCAAACTTATTATTTTAATCACAACCATAAATTTTGTTATTATAACGGTATCAAATACAATATTTCAAATGAAAATATGGATAATTTTTGTTCTATATGTAAAATAGCTAAATGTCCATTTGGAACAATTTGTAGCATATCTCCTGAATCTATTAGTGCAATATGTTTACCGACAATATATCATAATTTTGATTATATATATTCAATTATATCTTATAATGAATTGACAAAACCATTTTTTAAACAAGAAATTGGCACATATTTATCATCAAATAAAACAATGAACAAAACATTAGAAACACCACAATTTAATTCTATTGCTAATGTACTTATATTAAATTCAAATTTATCGCTTGCTTCTGATACTGAAACATACGTATATCATAATATATTTACACACTTATTAGATCAAGATTGGAATAATAATATAACAACTATGGCACAACGAGGAGTTTGGCAACAATTATTAAATTCTATTGAAAATTCAATGAAAACTATTGATAATAATATTCCATTATATCGTTATGAAAGTGATGTTTTATCATCAAGTAGTCTATTTATTAGTCAACAAAATCAACAACAATTTTCATCATCAAAGTCAGTTATTTTTGGATGGCAAATAAATAGCAATAATACAATACGTGAAAATATTAGTAAAGAATCATTTACACCTGATGATTCAACAAGTACAACAGTATTTTTAAATTTGAGTACAATGCAACAACCATCATGCAATTTACAGTAGGTTATAAGTTAGTACCTTAGTTTTTGTAAGAATCTATGTCTGATCAGGAAATGTCACATCTTTAAAAGCTTTTACTTTCTGTCAAAATTTTTATTGTGTCAATATGTTCATCATCGCAGAAAAATGTTGTGCTCATGTAAGCTCATGTCAAACACTTTTTTTGCGAGTTATCTGAGATTTGTCCAAACATCAAAAAAATTATGAATGTGCTAATGACTCAAACAACGTGCGGCGTATGAGTTTAAGAAAACCTTTTTTTATCTTCTTACCATCTATAGGATTTTGTCAAAATTTTAGTTTTCTATTGATCAGTAAACAATCAAGACCTCTTATCTATATCCAGCTACGGCGAATTTTTGTTTCATTCTAGAAATCAAGGTTGCGTATTTTCGCCAAATTCAATGAATTTTCAACGTTATGGTATCACATCTTTGAAATCATCAAAATTATTTGCAGCTACCGATCGTATACCAGATTATAACGTTATTTCTGTCATTGCACCAATTCAACAACAAACTCCAGCATTAGTCACAATTTACTTTCGACAAAAAATGTCTAATTTAACATCAACAACTAGTTTTTATGACAAAGCAATATGTATGTATTTGGATATTGATGAAATGATATGGAAACAAGATGGATGTGAGACAAAAACAGAAACACAAACAATTATTCAATGCAAATGTAATCATTTAACAATGTTTACTGTTTTCTTTTCACCTGATTGTACATCAGCACCAAAATTTTTAAATATTATTAGTTATATTGGTATTTGTCTTTCTCTCATTGGTCTTACAGTGTGTGTTATTATGTTTCTTATTAGTCAACGATGTCACGTTGAAAATAAGAAAAACGTATCCAAATCATTACCTTCAATTGCAAGTAATTCTCACAGTAGTGATGAAACTGTTTTATCATCTAATCGAGCAACCTGTACCATGATGATGCGAGCACCAAGATTAAAATTAAGTATTGTTAAATCAATGTTATTTGTACTTTGTATATTATTAATAATAATGAATATTTTGATATTAATTTTAACATTTATTAAACCGGGACAAAATGTTGCGTGTATTGTGTTCAGTGCTGGACTCTATTATGTTACATTAGTGTCGTTTATTTGGAAATTTTTATTTGCATTACAACAATGTATATTTATCACTAGTCTGCTGCAAAACTGGTCTGACAAATATTTGTTAGTTGTCTTTGGTAGTATAACATTATTATTACCAATAATTCCACTAATCATTATGTTTTTAGTCGTCAAAAATATCACATTTGTATCGACAACATGTCAATTTTGTTGGTTAAGTCGTGAATTTGTTATTTTTGCTCTGATGGTACCAATTCTATCCATAACAACGGTCAATTTTATACTTTATAGCTATACAATGATTAGACTAGCTATAAAAAATCGATTACAAGTGGGTCTACGTTCAACAATATCAGAGCATCAACGGCGAACGCAAAATTTAAAAATTGGTCTATTTTTTGCCATTATCATGGGTTTGACATGGTCATTCGGATTTTTATTATTGATTTCAAATACTGTTGTACAATTAATTGGAAACATATTGTTTTGTATAACAAACACTATTCAAGGTTTTTGTTTTTTTTTAATGGTATTTTGGATGATTGAACAAAACAAAACACGTGATCAGCTACGAATATGTTGTAATTATTGCATTGGAAATATGAAACAACGACAACCACAGGTCAGAATGAAAGTATTAAAAACATCATCGAGTAATACAACATGCTCGACCGATGAACAAACCCAAAAAGAGCCCAAAGCATTTGGATCAGTTCAAAATCGAAGAATAATAGAAACACAACTGGATGATCATACCTATACGTCTTTATTTTGATGTAAATATACGCAAATATACGCGTGTTTTTTTACACGAAAATAAACCGAATTGTGCACTGCTTCTTTATCGTAACGTGGTAATATTCTAGTCATCGTTCGTTTCGCCAACAGCTATTTGATTTACGGACATGTAATATTGAATTTTAAATATAACTTCCCTTTTCAAATGAGTGTCGTTTTTCTTTGTACATCGCAGATGAAAGTATTCTCCTCAAAATGAAACGTCTTTCAGATTCTTTTTCGATATTGTCTCGAAAAGTTATGAGTTCATTATTATACCCGATGAATAATAACTTCATCCGAACGAGCTAAAACTTTTAAGGCAGTTACAAAGCATTTGCGATTTACAAGAAAACTTAGCTTTTGAGAGATTTTTTAAAGGAAGAAAACCATTTAAAAGGGTGTACAAACTTATAAATGACAATCATTTTAATTGTCATTAAGTCACTCAAAGTGAAACTTAAAGTATCACATTAAATCCGTACTTTTCTTAGGAATTTGTAATTCCTAAATATTTTCTATGAAAGTGAATTATCCTATTATCCTTTTTTCTCGAGCAAAACCTTGTTTAAGGATTATTTGAAACATTGATATAAAAACAGTAGTGACTGCTTGAAATACAAATGAACATCGTTACCTTGAAATTCCACAGCGAGATTTCCAAATGCGAAGCAAAATTTTAGAATTAGGAATTTTTTGAAAAAAAATAATCTCTGTGCGTCACCTAATATGCTGTCAATCACTCGTTCATTTTTCGAGGTATCAATGTTTTCTTTTCAGCAAAAGATAGCCCCGATTCTTAGCTACAAAAACTCTCACGACTATAATTCGTTAACATGAAGCCATTCGTAGGACTTGTCACTTCTTTCGCATCTTCTTCGAAACGAGGGCCTTTTTTCTCTGTGCGTTACTGAACAATATTTTTTGTGTAAAGTTGAAATTTTTATGGGAAGTAGAACTTCGTCGAATACATATTCGCTAAAAGTTTCAACTCTCTAGCTCCATTTGTTCTCGAGATATACGCTTCTGAATTTGAAAAAATCTCTGTGCGTTATCTGCGTTTTTCATGATATATAGAATATGGCAAGAAATATTATCGATTAATGAAAAATCATGATGAGATTCAAACCTTAATATTATAACAAAGTAAACCAAAGTTATATGGGCCACTGAAGAATAAGCAACTATAATTTTTATATCTCTAACCACTAAAATAATACACAGTAATCAATTTCCGAAACCCCCAACAGTAACAGGCATAATAAAAAAAAAATCATTAGAAAAGCGTAAAATAATAATTATTTAATCAATAAAATCTGCTGAATAAGCTGAATCGAGTATATGGTATCTAACAGAAGAGTAAAGATATAAACAGTTAATTAGTTGCCTTAATTTATCAATAAAATTATTTTTGTCGTGGTAGTCCAAAGATGATGATGTTACAACATAGATATTATATTTTTTACCTACTGATTGCATTTAATATCAAACGTATATTGATATCTTTCAATATGGGAAAAGCAGTAATCTTAATTGTCAACGTCCATCTATCTTTTAATAATGAAAAAGTTATTCAGTTGTTTCCCTGTGTATTATTTTGCGACAACTAGTTCTATTAGAATATTTAATTCTAGAAAACACAGAAGTACATAAAAAATCGAATATGAATTATGTAATAAAACAAAAAAAAGTTTTTTGTATTTAAGCACGAATTAGTCATAATAAAAAAGACACTGTTTAGTCAATTTCCAACAGATACGAGATTCATATAAGCATGTCATGTCTATAGATATACATATTGTCAAATTCGTTGAGTAATTGACCACTAACTTCGTACTACAACAATAAAATGAAACGTGATTATACATCACATTTGAAAGGTTACTAGTGCTATCCAACCAGTTCATATTTATCTAGTATTGTGTGCATGTTTAACTACCTGTATCATTTAATATTTTTGATGCTGTAGTTTTAACGGTTGAAGTAAAAGCGGTATTTGATGCATTGATCACTGTCAAAAAGAAAGAAAAATTATAGCTACACTTCATATTTAGCAAAGGTAGCCATTGATAATAGTCTGCAATGAAACAAGAAAAATTACAATTTTCGTACGTTTCTGGAGTGAAGTCGAAAGTTGATGAAGTTTTGATGAAACAGACGGAATATTCAAGTGAGCTCGTTGTACCAATGGTACAACTGCTGCTATTGTATTTGTCTCAATATCTTGTAATGCATGGGCGATATCTAAAAAATAACAACACGTTAGTCTTTAGCAAAGTTGAAGATATTATAATGTGTTTAATAATAGTTGACAACCCTCGTATAAAATAAACTCATCATTCGACTTACTTTCGGCTAATTCATGATATGCAAAATGTAAATATAAGAGAAAAACCATATGTACGCAAGCGACAAATCCGGCCAGTGCTAGCTGGTACCGTGGATTTAGCGTTCGTGCTGCAACAACTGAAGCCTTAACGTAAAACAACTATAAAAGTATGTCGTGAAAAAAGTACAGAATGTTTTACCATTTTTGTCGCAGCCATTCCGCTGATGAAAAACCAAAGAAGATAAAATAACATGTGATCATGTTTTGTGTGAATAAATGTTGCAAATAATAAAACAACACAATGACTAAATAGAGCGTATCCCTAGATTAAAAAATGATGATATGAACAAACAGAAGGTAAAGGAATTGTTTTTCTTACATTTAGACTCAATATTTGAGTTATACTTAATCGTGTGTTACAGATGAATGAAACGCTGGATATAGCAAAACTTGATCCAATCCTAACGAAAAAATGTATATTCATAGATTGTTGATTGATAAGAGCAAAATTTCTTTACTTACCAATATCCAAAACATATAAAGAATGCCGTGCCAATTAATGTACCATCTTGCTGCAAAAAAGTTAAAAAAAAAATTTAGTTGCAAACAAATGAAAGGAAAATCTAGGCTTTCGAATTAGAATATTAGTCTCATACACTTACTTACAACAGAATGACTGGACAGCTTCATTTGATAGATTAAAATTGCAGCTAGTGTAAATACGATCATACTTGGGCCATATAATTCAGGTTTTACATTCTAAAATAGCGGGAGTTCAGACTGTAAGGAATACGACATAAAACGCTTGTTAAGAATGATTATACCAACCTACCTCTTCTCGCGATGGCATTCTTGGTATCAAGGAGTGAATCAATCTAAAAAGAAAAGAAAAAATCTACAGTAGTATGCTTTCTGTTCAACTCTACGATATAAGTAAAGTGAAGTCTATTATTCTCTCATGTAAATCGTGCAAGAAAACTTTATTAATAGACATGCAGTTCCTATTTTGAATTGTTATGGATGATTTGATACGAAATATGAATCAAGTTTAAGAATTGTTAATGTACTATTTATGCCGTAATTCAAAATTTTAATTTATCTGTCCAAACCTGTCAACTCCTTACCGCAGTCTTCTTCAGTGGTAAAATTAATAAAACTACGTGAGTTAAAGTTCATAGTACACAACATAAATCATTCCACACTAAGCTAAAATATAATGTATACAGTGAAATTAAAACTATGCTTTGTTAGTGTACATTTTTCTAATACTCTCTCTTTTTCTTTCTTCTTTTATATCAAAAACGACTTTTGAATACTATGTGTGAATGGAAATGTAACTTATTTACATGTAAAGATGTATCTATTAGAAAATTTGACTGAACGATGAAAAACGATATTTTTATTTCGAAATAAAATATTTTAGGATCTCCTTTTTTCCTGGATTAACCCAGAATTTCTAACGACTCTGTAAACCCATAGAGTCAACCAGGCTGCCTAAATTTATAAAATTTAGGATGAGTCGGCCAACAGAAAAGGGGAACCATTACTTCTTATATATTTTTCTTATTTGTCTCCACAACACATATCTACCGTATTGCTGTCTGTAGTCCACTAGATGCTGCTAAACTGTTGTATATACGTTGGACAGATACGTTAAAATTTTGAATTGTGAAATAAAAAGTACATTAAGCATTCTTAAACATAATTCCTAACTTGTATGACTATCGCAAAATATACCTGCTGAGTACTTCTTTAGGTTCTACATCAAAATATGGCCGCAGATAATCGAGATTTGCATATAGATTTATTGCTTTTTGTGCTTGCTGTTTCCCAGCATTCCACACCTATAACATTGAAACAAAAAAGTCTATTATAATCTACCTATACAATTAGAGATGTTACTCGTACAACCGATGCTTTTTATTCAAAAACTTCACGACAGAAAACTTTTGACTAGACTTATCTCATACCGCAGAGTTTGAAATATGCAGTGAGAAAAACTAGAATTTTATAGCAAAATTAGTTTTTTTCAGAGAAAATTCCGCCGCCAATCTGGCGATCAGCCAACGTTTCTATTTACACTAAAATAGGAAAATGAAAAATATTACCAGTGCTCCTACACTTGGTCCGATTTGATATGTGGAATCATTATCATTGTTTATCGGTCTTCGTTGAATATTCTCGTCCATGGTAATAACCTTTGCAGACGATAGTTTTGTATCTGAAAGAGACAAATAACTGTTTGTGATCATTACACGGAAAATTCCTAGACAATTCTTAAAGCGAAAGTTACAGCCATTACTACTTTTAAACTTCAAATTTCACCGTTTCTCACTTAAACGGTTTACTTTATGAATCTCAGTATATATCACAGCACTTTTCAAAGTTAGGAAACATAAAAAACAAAGCTCCAAATTAATTTTAAAAATATCTTTTTAATAATAATAGTAAGGTAAACAAGCAATTACAAACAACTAGCGAAGCAAGCTGACTTTTTCGCTTCGTCGAAAAACAACCAATAGGATTTTCAAATATGCTGCATCGTTACTATCGACTACTTGTTTTGACACTTCAGAATAAGATTAGAATATTTTTAAAGTAAAGTACATAGACAAATCTAGGAAGACTATTATGAATTCTGTTCTTTGTCTATTAACACGTAAGAGGATCATAATGACGGACTTATGGCATCTGGAGAACCAATAAAACATTGAGTTTTAATATTTTTTCTCTTAGAGTTATACTTTCGTTTTTTGCCATTTATTTTGTTCATTGACCGGATAGACTGATTTAATAATTATTATTTGAGTTTGAGAAGTCGATATATATTTAAGACTGGATATTGAAACTAAACTTTAAATTCTTTTCGTTAATCGCTGTAATGATGTTCTTCTTTCTGCCTCATGCGATACTTCCTCAAAAAATGAAAAGCTGGCAGAAATGTCAGAACCTTTTACAAAGTTATTCGAACAAACTAAATTATTGATTAAAGAAAATTCAACAGTCTTTTGTATTTGATAAGAAAGGTAAGTCTGATTGTAATTCATTTATCTATTTTACGTCCTCAGTGGATTTCACCTTGCTATGAGTTTCTAATCTCGCACCCGTGAAAATCTTTATTAATGTATGTATTTTTCGCTATAATATTGTTAAAAAAACTTCTTTATTTCAAGCATGCTGACAAATGGCAACAAAAGGTATCGATATTAAAACAAAAAAGGCATGCTTACTGGATACTTCACCCGTTGCATCAGACGATGAGGGTAGAGATTTTTTAAACGTTTTATATAACAAGTTAAGGCTGAATGTATTTTGTACCTTTAGAAAAAAAAACGTCGAAACGTCGTGTGTCTATTTCAGCCGATAATACACAGATGTCTCCATCTAGTACAACTAGTAGTACAAATTGGTCTTTACAACGAATCATAGTCAGCGAAAGACAACAAATGGCTATATTGAAACAGTTAACAGCATCTGAGGATCAACAGGGTAAAATTAGTACACGGATTGTTTTGATTGACATCTTTTATGTTTTCTATTTCTATCTATTTAGCGCAATCGCCTAAATCAACTTCGCCAGCGTTAACTTCTGCATCAACCGCAATTTCAAAAAGTCGTTCGTCACGAATAAGTAAACGTAATGAACATGGTGAGACAATACTTCATGTATTGGCTAGAAAGGGAGAGGTAAAACAATTGAGAAAGGTGATTAAAGCCGGTGGAAATGTGAATGAAGCTGATTATGCAGGTAAAAAGTAAATTCGAATGCGTACATACTAGTCTCCACAGGAATTTTTTTTTTTATTGTAGGATGGACACCATTGCATGAAGGTATATGCAATAAGATAGAACAGTATTTTATATAAAAATATAATGTGTTTTTCTAGCTGTTAACAAAAATCAATTCGCTACAGCACGTTTATTGCTCAAATCCGGAGCATTAGTCAATGCTTTTGGTCCCGAAGCAACAACTCCATTGCATGATGCCGTTCTAAATAACAATACAAAAGTATGCATGATCGCAAAAGTACGCACTATAGTCGATTGATTATTTATTTTTCTATCATTTAAGTTGGTTGAATTGTTGTTGAATTATTCTGCTAATCCGAATCAAGGAGATTTGAAACAAATTACACCATTTGATTTAGGTGCATCCAACGATATGATGTTGAAAATATTAAGGCGCGAATTAGTGATAGATCGCCAAGACGATAGTCAAGATGAAGACGATGAAAATGATGAATTAGGGCCTCTATCACCACTGAGCAGTTTTGAATGCGAACAAGATATAGCAACAACTGCAATATTATCATTATCTCCGAATGCAACTACATCAGGTTTGCTGCTCTTCTCTTTTTTAGATACCATATAAGTTTATTGCTGTTTTTCTTAGTCGATTCTTCTGAAAAACAACGCCATTTGTTGATTGAAGATAAACTCAGAACAAAACTGGTTGAACGATTGAAATTTAAACGAATTGATCGGACCGTAAGTGAGGTTATAATGCAACTTGATAAATTAAGAAGGATTCAACAACATTTTCTCTTGTACTCAAGTTGTTTTAAAACCGACAAAGTATTCACGAATTTGAACATGCATTTTGCTATGTGAAAATTCTTGTGGTGACAAGAATGGAAAATTTTCTTTACGATTGAAACGGTTCTACTACTGGGTGGGATAACGGTACTTTCTTTGTTTAGATTATCAAAGAGAATATAGATAAAGATTTTAGCGACGATGATACTTTGGACAATAGCCCTGACCATGCAACAAATTCAATTTACCGTCGAAATCGTAATAAATCATCGGAATCATCTTCATCTCATGGCAGACAAATAAATCATGAGATGTTATTAGATAATGCAGATGTACAGGAACAAACAGGGGATACACGTCCAATAGCCAGAGAACAAAGAAATCCATATGATTTTGATAGTGAAGAAGAAGAGGGTGAAATTCACGATGATATTGGCGATGATCCTAAAAATTCATCAACAATAACACATAATAATACAACATTACCATCATACGAACAAGTTAGTCGACCAGCGTATCATTATCCATCAAATTCAGTAAATACTCGAACTGCATCATCACAGTGTCAAAATAATCATCAACGATCGCCACCACAAACATATTCATCACTGTACGATTCATCCCATTGTCAACAGACACCTTCGCCATCTTCTCAGTGTTATCGTGATGAACAACACGAATATGCAAAAACGACGTGGCGGCATGTAAGTGTTTCACAATACAATCATCTAATTTCTAATTTGCTCTTGTTTATTTTCTTTCTAGGATAACAGCGAGAAAAAAGACCGATCGTCTAAATCTGCGCAAGATTCAAACGATAGAAACCGTTCAAATTCATCCTCTTCGCTGCATGAAAAACAAACACACGAAACAACATCAAAAAATGCTCGTTTGTTAAAATTATCATCATCTTCTTCTTCAAATGATGAATTAAGAATTAAAATTGTGTCCAAACGGAAAAAAGAAGCCATATCACCATCACAACTAGAAATAACAAAGGAAAAATATTCAATATCCGATGATGAAAAATTATTGAAACAACAAAAAAAAATTTTCTCAAGTCCTGATCGTTATAATAAAAAATTCGAAGAATCACCGATGAAAAAATCTGATGAAATATCCATTGATGCCACCGTAATTAAACCAAAAATTCCAGTTTTAAAAATTGTCATGCCAACCAGTCAACATCATTCGAATGAGAAAAAAATTAGAAACATACAACAAATGTTACCCTATGTCCTCAAACCAGATAATAGTGAAAGGTAGGATTTGTGCAAGAGTTTCACGTGAAACTTTAGTCTGTGCTCAAAACAAACGGGAAAAAACACAAATACCTGAGACCAATCTTAATCATTTTTAAAATTTTCAAGGATTGAAGTATAACAGATTCACCAAAAAATGGCTGTTAATCTTGAAATTGGCTTAATTTTGTATGATACGAATACACAGACGATCGTGCTCTTATTTGAAACCAAAACAAAGTTCAATAACACCGTTTTGAACAAATGTGGGGTTTATCAATAAGATCGTGTACAGCAGTTGATTATTTAACTTGTCACTAACTCGTATGAAATGTGCACATTTCCCTGTCAAAGTCATTGAGTTTATTCAAAATTTTAAAACTATTTAAGCATTCATTCCATACTATAAATAATCATAAACGTAAACTCGATTCTACGTTTCTATGTTATACTGTAATACACTTAAGATATTTTTTTAAAAGCGTTAAACGATGAAATATTTACGTATAAGAACGGGAAAAAACAGTTATATCACGTTTTTAGTGCATATTATTAATTGAGAACAAACAATACTGTTCTCTATATAACTCAAGACATTCTATTAGGAAAAGCACAACTGACACTGATGCAGTTGTTCTGATTGTTTGTCCAATTCTGATGGAGGTTGACAATCTATTCTGACAGACAATCTCTAACACAAACTAAAACTTTAGAATATGATCAGAAATGCTGCACTTGAGCCTCAACAGCGAAGCTTACCAAGTATTCTTTTTTTGATGAAACACTTGCTTTTATAAAGCATATCAGTATATTTCGGTCACTTCTGAATACGAATAGTCATAACTCTACAGAAATCTATTCTTCTAATACTTTGTATACGTATCTAACCTGATATTCTCTGAAATTGCTATGATGAGAAACTGGTTTTTCGAAAGTTGATTTAGTTTTCCATAACACTTTGGCTTTACAAGCCGATCTATCATAGACATATCACTCGCAATGTATGGGCAATCTATAGATCATCTATAAAAAATGTGTTTTAATAAACATGACTTTGTCAACAAGTCATGAAGAAGGGCATTCTTGGGATTAAACATCTGTAATTTGGTAGAAGTAGCTTCATCTTGTTATGCCACTTGTCTTGATGTGAAACTTTGTTCCTTGCCGAAATACATCTATATTCTATAGAAGAAATAAAATCAATTTAATTTGGATGCGAAGGTCCTTCATTCAGAATACAAATTTGTGGGATCAAGTAATACGTGCATACATTATGACTTAGTGGGAGTAACATAATACACCTCATAAAAAATGTACGATTCATAACAGTGAGAGACGAAGATGGTAAAGACGGTAAAGAAGAACGCATAATTTTTCAAGAATTGAAATAATAACGCATACCTGCAGTCAGAAACGTATAAGGTAGTTGGGGGTGTGATGACAAAATTGTGTAAAAAGTTAGAAAACTACCATTTCTACAGGAAAAATATCATTTGTAGACTATTTCACATGGTTATTTTTCAAATCATAGCCATAAAAACGAATTACTTGAACTTTATTGATTAATTTATCTCGTTCAATTCACTAAACTTCCACTCAAATAATTTGCTCAAAGCACTTGTCTTCTTCATAATCAATTTTAACTGAGTTTTTCAACTCTAGTAAGAAGTCGAGATATCATTACTGTTATCATACGAAATTATTTTGATGAAAACAGTTCACAGCATTATTTCGCTCAACGTTGAAAGCTTGCTGTGGACGCCTAGAAAAAATTTTGTCTATCGTTACATACGCAAAAACATTCTAAACTAACAACGCATCAAAGTACAATAAATATTTTTAGTAGAGACGTATAGGATGATAATCTCTAGTTCGTAATCTGACATATTTTGTTTTCTTTTTAAACGTCTGACCTACAGAAGTACTTTAACTCGTCTTTTAATGTTAAACTTTTTCTGGAACAATGATCTACCTCGTAGTTGGATCACTGGTTTATTATGAGAGTACATATATCAAGATAATTATGGATATTATACGTTAAAACATCTCTGACGATGTCTAAATTGCAAAATGAGTATATATTTGATTTTTCTTTCTTTCTTTCTCCTTGTTGTTCAATAACGAACGGCAAATCGTTCAATCACTCACAGCATATGAGAGAAAAAATGATAGCGTATGTGTGTTGTGGGGGGGGGGGGGGGGGGGGGGGGGGGATTGGGTTTTTTTTGGGGGGTCAAACCCCCTGGCCCTTTTT